ATCCAGTCAGCAACTTACGCAAGATAAGGAGATAAACGATAAGCTGGTGTTTTTGTATGCTCTTTCCCCACATCTGTGCTTTCACTTTTCACGACATTATTATTACCCACAGTAACTTCAGAAGAAATCGAGGCAGTAAAAAATTCCTTCTTGGAACCACTTGGAGTTGGGGTTGGTGAGCTCGGTGGTTTCAAGTCTTCATAACTGTCGATTGAAAAATGTAAACAGAAAAAGGGATCATTTATAATGGGAGAAAAAAAAAAAAACTTTAAGAAAAAAAAAAAAACTTTAAGCTTCAGTATAATAACTACATGAAATAGAAAATACTGTGAAGGGATAAAACTCCAAAGCTATTTTCGCCTAATAGTGTTAACCAATATATTTTTCGTAAATTTATGTAAGATTATACATAGACTTATGATTCAAGATAATTATAAGTGCCCTTTAAAAAAAATTGATTTTTACTTGATATAGGGTGACGAGGCGTGTTTTTTCTTTGGTGCAGCCTTATTAGTGCCCACATTATCGATCGAAATATTCGACAATTTTGAAGAAATAGAATCGACTACGATTGACAATGAGGTGGGCCCGGGTCCAGTGCTCGGGGTAGGAGTTGGAGGAGTAGGTGGTTTTAAATTCTCATAGCTACCAAAAGAACAAAAATAATAAAAAGAAAATGAATGAAAAAAGGAAAAAATATACAGATCAGTCACAAAAAAAAAGAAGCAATTTTTTTGTATCTGATAATGAAAAGTGCAAATGAAAAGATACGAGGAAATTTTTGAAAACACAGATCATTTGAACTCTTTCAGAATGAATAAAAAAAAATGACATTTATCGAACATTAATGCAACTCACGCAGTAAATGGGGATTGTGGTGCTGCTTTAGTTGCGATTATCTGCTCGGCTTTCTTTTCAGTCAACAAGCTGTCTTTAACAAATGACTTTGATCCATCTAAATCATCCGATTCCTAATAACAATCAGATTAAAATCCTAACCATTAGATTCACACCTGCATCTTACAAATACTTTTGAAAGCGCATAGCCGGACAAAAAAAGTTATGAAGGTTCCTATTTTCTTATATCTTTGTTTTCAGCCTCTTCAAAGTAAATATCATTCAACTAGTAAATTTTATTGCCATAAAACTCAGAAACTTTCAGCATAATTTTGACCCTTATTTTATTTT